GCTTCTTCCTGGGGTGTGTGGCCCTGCAGGGAAAGGAAATAGCCGTCGATTTCTTCCTCCACCTCCGATTCCCCTCAGCCTGCTGACCTCCTCCTGGAGCTCCTTCACCTGCACCTCCAGGACCCTAAGGCGGGCGCCTGCAGGACAGGTGTGGGGGTCCCCAATCCCTACCCCCCAGGCCTTGCTAGGCAACCCCCACAGGCCAGGGGGTGGGGGGATGCCAGCTCCCCCATGGGCTCTGTCTGGGTGGAGGCCTCAGACAAGCCCCAGGTAGGCTGCGCCCCCCCGGGCAGGGGCCCTAGCAGCACTCCGTGTCAACACCATCGTAGGAGTTGCTGCTTGTTTATGGCTTAGTGCAGTGCCTTTGCCCTGCCTTGGCAGGAGTCTCCCTCCTGGCCCTTCCTGCTCGCCTGCCGGTGTGAATGCCGACGCGCTCTGTTCACGCGGCACGGCTCGGGAGCGCGGCTCCCTACCGGCTCAGCTTGGTTGGAGCGATGCCTTCACGGACATGCTGTGCAGCAGGTGACCATCTCCATCTCTGTGCTGCTCATGGCTTACTTTTACAGGACCAATTAAGCCAGTGAACTCCTTTCTCCAATGTCTCTGTTTGGATCCAGTGTAAACTTCCGTGCAGTCCTTGCGAGGGTGCCATGAGGACGCTTCCTGGATGTGCACTCAGTTGCACTTGGCAGACACGCAGCTGGATGTTGCACGTCCTCACTTTGCCTGGTGCCCCTAGGGAGAGGGCGTGCGGCGTGCAGCCTCCTGGCCACAGGTAGGGTCTTAAAATACAGTCACTTTTTGCTGAGGGTCGGATGGAGCGTTGCATTCTGAGCCTTGGTCTGCAGGGTACACATCTGTATTAAGGATGTCTGCTCCGTGCACATCAGGTGCAGGGCTCACGCTTCGGGTGAGTGCCAACATGTTACATGTCGCAGCCCCGTGGAATTCAGGTGGTGGTGAGGGGGAAAAGAGCAGCAGAGCCAAAGAGGCTGCTTCTCAGGTGCTAGCATCAGGGCAGCCAAGGTTTGGGAGCTGCAGGTTTAATGCATGTGATAATGAAGTTTTAATTCTGAGCCAGAGGAGAAAGTATGGGAGAAATGCTTTGTTTTCTGCTTGTTTACTTCAAGCACCTTCTCCTTGAGGGCACCTTCCTCAGGCCCCACGCCAGCGTGACTCACGTTGCACTTGCTCCCGTACTCCCTCGTCTGCAACCACTGCCTCCGCAGACCCGGTTCCTTTGGGAGCTGTCCCCTTCTGCTGGTCAGCCTTCAGTCTGCTGAGGGCAGCCGTGGCTTCTCCGGTCTCATTTTCTAAACGTGGGTTCCCTCTGGTTGGGCCGGGAATGGCATGGAGCTGGCCCACAGCATCCTACAGTGTAGCTGATTTGCACTGCGACTGCCAAGGAGAGGGGAGGGGAAAGGCTCCCTTTATTAAATCAGATGCCCTAAATACCTATGTGTTGTGCAACGTACGCTGTTGCCTCACCTGGTTCTCCAGGGTGCTGTTGGTGAATGGTCCCAAAAGTTCGTTGGAGCTTCTGCGATGATCTCTGCTGCAATGATGTGGCAGGGCTGCACACTGTAATGAACCACACATGAGATCCCTGAGCAGCAGCAGGGAAGGGGGAGAGTGGCCTTCTCTGCCATGGCTAGATGACCACCTTGCTGGGGTCATTTGACCCCAGTACTCTTTCCTGCCATGGCAGGGGGTCAGGCTCGATGATCTGCTCAGGTCTCTTCCGACCCTAGAAACTATGAAACTATAAACTATGCCTTTCCCTTGGCAGGTGCACACTAGCATTCCCAAGCAATGTGGTTTAGTTTGGGCTTAGCCTGAGTACAGGACCAGGAGCCAGGACTTCTGGGTTCTGGCTCCAGTGCTGAGGCTCAGTCTATGCAGTGGAGCAAGTCGTGTCTCCTTTTTCCCATTTCGAATGGTCTGTGCGGTGCTTGGGTGAAAAGGGCTAAGTCATATCATGTGGCTGCAGGGCCTTTGGTACAAACGAAGCTGAGTTACTCCTAAGCACATGGTGTGAGCACGTACAGAATGGTGCAAAATGCCTCTGCCTTTGCAGCTGTAGTTTGGGAGGCAGCAATACCAATGTGCAAAGCCTTGAGCCTGGGCAACCCACACGTCCAGGCTCTGTCCCTTCCCCAGTTGTTTTCATGTATCACGACAGCGTCAGATGATGCAACATGACCCTGACTGCAGCCAAAGCTTAGCCTTTAGCCTGAAACTTCTTTATAAAGGAGTAGAGTGTCTCTCTGTCTCCCACTACAGCCCTCGTGCCTCTCTTCCACTGATGCTTGTGCTCCCATCTCCCTATGGACACCCTTGGAATAGAAGGACAGCTGGTCTCTGACTGAGCTAAAGGGAGCCCTCACTCAGGGAGAGATTAAGGACTTGATGAAGTGTAAAGAAGGAAGCAGCATCCTCAGCGCTGTGAGTGGGGTCCCTGGAGGTGTGCAAAACCCCAGATCTCCAGCATCTGCTGCAAGGTCCCTGTGCCCCGCGGGACACTGACCCAGCCAGCTGCACTTGCAGAGTCAGAGCTTCCTGCTTCAGTGAGTTGGCTGCACCACAGTCTATTTTTCCCCTCTTCTATTTCAAGCTCTAGACATTGTGCACAAGCAATAGTCTAAAACAAAACTCTTGCTATTAGGCCAGCAGCTGGTTTGGATGCTAATCTTGTCCTGTCTTCAGCAGTTTTGAAAGTCCTGGAGCTCTGTTGCGAGTTAACTGGGGAGATCTGTGGCTGAGGTCTGTATTTCTTGGCTATGTGACCTCCCTGAGGGCTTGCATGCTCTTTGTGAGGAGAGGTCATGAAGGTTAAATGTTGGCCCCTCTCTCTTCTCCCTTGGCCATTTCCTTGCATAAGCACATGGGTATGCATGCATGTACACACACATGCACACACACACACTTCCTGGTTCTGCCACTGACCTGCTGTGTGACAGTGGGAAAGGCGCTTCCCCTCTCTCTGCCTCTGTTTCCCCCTCCCAGTCTGCGGTCTATTCAGACTGGGTCAGCTCCATCAGGAGGAGATTTAGTCCTGCGCGTGGCATACGTATGGCTCCCGGTGCAGGCGAGGGTCTCCCATTCTTTCTTGGGACTGCTGTGACACCAATCACAGACTTGAGAGGGGAGCAGCATCTCTTTGGTTCTGTTAAAACTCCCATCCAATGGCCCGGTGCTGATGGTGGCTTTCTGATGCTGACAGCAAAAAAATCAACTTTCAAGCTCTGTCGGGTCCTGCTGTGCAGGTCGTCTCTGCCTTCATCTTGGTACCAGGTGCTGCTATCTTGGGGGCTCCAGCTTGTAGTTGTCAATGCAAATGATTCTGGAGCAAAACAGTGAAAGACCTGGAGATCCTGAAATGGGTTTGGGGGAAGCTGGTTTTTCTCTCTGCCCTCTTCAGGGAGCTATCTTCAGGTTCAGCATCACAGCTACTGCAGCTCCTGATATTTATGGGACCAACCTGACCCTTGACCCTCCCAGCCCATGCCCTGTTGTACGGAGATTTTCTGGCATTTAAGAAGCAGCCTTAAATACCTTGGGGGGGTTATATTTGTGGAGTGATGTCATGAGGCTGTATTGCCACAAGAGTGCATGCTGTCCAGGTGTGTAGGAGGAGGATGTTTTACAGTGAGTGGAGCTCGCTCAAGGTAGGAAGCTGGGCTGCTAAGTGTCCCCAGGCAGCTTTTGTGCATGCTACAGGCAGAGTCGGGAGATTTGCAGGCTCTTGCCAGGGTAGGATTCCCCCTGGCTGAAACATCCCTGATGACTAGCTCCGTCTAGTCCTTGCACGGACACTAGAGAAGGAGCCAAGTGGCATTTCCTTCTCGCAAAAATCAGAGCACCATGTTGGTGCGGTGGAACTGAAAGTGCCATGTCACGCTGTCTGGGCTACCGAATGATTTATGTGGCAGTCATTTCCCTCGGGTCGACTGCCTGGATCCCAGAACATGACCTTCTGTGTGCCCTGGTGCGAGGCTGGAGGTGAAAAGGTGTGCGTTGATAGCTGAGGGGTACGGCGTAGTGAAGGTAACGCCTGTTGCTTTGTGCCCGGGAGTGTCTCTAAAGCTCTGTTCCAAGAGAGCGCTCCAACAGAGGCTAAGAGTTCTGCTTTTTAAATCGGGGCCTCACCGCATGCATCTTTCCCTGAGGTGCACTTCCCAGTGCAGCCCATGGAACAAAGCAATCTTTAATGAGACTGATCTTCCTTCACTTGCGAGCGCTTCCTTCACTAGTGAGGCCTGAAACTCTCTCCTATGGTTATTCAGAGAAGTGCCCAGCAAGCAGATTTTCATGTTGCTTGAACCAATTAGCTGCTGAGTTCAAAGCTATGTTGAAAGGACCTTGTTAAATTATGGGGCAAGGTTTGGGGGAGTGCTTCATTTAGGGCTGCATCGTTGACTGGCTGTCCTGAAGTCCTTCTTCCACTCCCTGGGATAAGGTACCATGATCATAAATTTGGGACTTGCTGTAAGTTTTCTCTTTTGTATGCGTTCGTGTTCTTTTAAACATCTTTATTCTAACCCTACTGGACCGTCCTTGTCTCCCTGGCCTTGCTAGGCGCACACCATCCTGTTTTATTTTAGTATAAGCTCCTTAAGGCAGGACAGGCATCTGCTCTGTTGAGGGCCCCTAGC